GTTCAAGACCAGCCTCAGTTACATAGCGAGTTCAAGGCCAGCCTGAATTACATAATGAGAGACCTTGTCTCAAAAAAAGCAAAACAGGGCCAGGGATTTAGCTCAGTGTTTCTGCCACCTGCCTGGCAAGCACAAGGACCTGAATTCGATCCCCAGTAGAAAAAAAAATCTAAACAAACAAACAAACGACAATATAATGGAAATCAAGATTATTCATCTACATGCTATACTTCTATTGCTTGAGATAGAGCCATTCTTACTGAAGTGAGGTGATAGCTTATTGTGGCCTTTGACTTTCATTGGCTGGTGGTTAGTAATGTTAAACACCTTTCTCCATGTACCTGTTGGCCAGTTGTCATTTTTTTTCAATGCTGATTGGTGGAATCCCAGGTCTTGCACATACTGGGCAAGCCCTCTGCCCCTGACATACACTCTGGGAGTCTGTGTGTCTTTTTTTTTTCTTTGAGAAATGTCTATTTAGGCATGTTGCCTATGTTTTTCACCACTGAGATTTTGGAACCCTCCCCCGCCAGTGCGTGTGTGTGCGTGTGTGCGCGCGTGTGGTATTGGGGATCAAACCCAACTCCTTACACACGTTAGGCAAATACTGCACCACCGAGTCCCAGCCCAGCTCTGCAGTTCCCCTGTTTTCTGGATATTAGTTCCTTGTCAAATGTACAGTTTGCAAATATTTTCTCCCAATGTGTCCCTTTACTGTGTTGTTTCCTGTGCAAAGCAAAAGCTTTACAGTCTGAGATGACCCCTTTTGTCTATTTGTGTTTCTGTCTTTTGATCTTTTGGAGTCTTTCCCCCAAAATATTCTTGTCCAGTTCAATGTCGGAAGCATTCCCATGTTTTTGCCTAGTAGTTTCATAGTTTCAAGTCTCACATTTAATTTTTTAATCCATTCTCAGTTGACTTTTACTTTTATTTATTTGTTGTTGTTGTTGTTGAGACTGACCTGGAACTCACTATGTAGCCCAGGCTGTTCTCAAACTCACAGCGATCCTCCTGCCTCAGCCTCCCAAGTGCTGGGATTACAGGCATGTGCCACCACGCCTGACCTGAGTTGACTTTTATAACTGGTTTTTTGCACCTTTGTCAAAGATAAATTGGCTAGGCCTGGGGGGGGGTTAGTTCAGTGCTTCCCCGACCTGCCTCACAAGCAGAAGGTCCTGAGTTCAGTCCCCAGTACCAAAAAAATAAGTTGGCTGTCGATGTGAAGGTTTACTTGTAGGTTCCCTGTTGTAGTCCGTTGGTCAGTGTATCTGTATTTGTGCCAATACCATGCTGTTTTTTGGCTTTTGGTTGTGACCTTTGTTTTAGGGGTTTGTTCTTTCTTTTTTCTTTTTCTTTTCTTTGTGTATTGGAGAATGAAGCTAGGGCCTTTGTACTGAGCTCCATCCCCAGCCCTATTTTTAAAAAGTGTTTTTGAGACAGGTTCTCACTAAGTCAATAAATTGCCCAAACTGGACCCGAACTTTGACCCTCCTGCCTCAGCCTCCTGGAGTTCTGAGATTACAGGTGTGTGCCACCATGCCTGGCTCTCCTGTGCCGGTTTGATTACTCCATCTCTGTACTCTATTTTCTTTTCTTTTTTTTCTTTTTTTTTTTATGGGTACTGGGGATTGAACTCAGGTCCTTGGGCTTGCAAGGCAGGTCACTGAACCACTGAGCTAAATCCCCGGCCCTGTACTCTATTTTCAACTAAAATAGTGTAATGCTTCTTGCTGTGATCTTTTTTCTCAAAATCTCTTTGGCTTTTGGGAGTTTTGGATGTTCCACAACAAATTTTAGTATTTTTTTCCTAGTCCTATGAAGAGCATTATTCATATTTTGAGCTGAAACGTTTTGGTTTTTTTGGGTTGTTTTGTTTTGTTTTGGTACCGGGGATAGAACTTGGGACCTTTCACTTGCAAGGCAGGCAGAGGAACCACTGGGCTAAATCCAGGCTGTCATTCAAATTTTGATAGGGATTGCACTGAATCTGCAGATCACTTTGGATCGTGTGGACATTTTAACAATACTGATTCTTCCAATTCACAAGCAAGAGATAGCTTTCCATATTTCCTCCAGTTCCTTGATCAATGTTTTATAGTTTTCATTGTAGAAATCTTCTCCCCCTTAATAACTGAAAAAAAATATGTCACCTATCCACTGCGATGGTGTTTTTAATCAATTTCTTCCTATAATTCCATTGTCTTTTTGTTTATCTTGAGACTATATTATCAGGTCATATCTTTCCACTAAATCAAAACATTTATCATTACCTATTAATGCTCTCCATTTCTAATATTATTACTTGGGGGGGGGTCAAGACAGGGTCTCATTATGCAGTTCAGGCTGGCCTTGAAATCACTATGTAGCCCAGGTTGGCTTGGAACTCAAAAAGATCCTCCTGCCTCAGCCTCCTGAGTGCTGGGAACACAGGCATGTGCCACCACACCCGGATTTAAGGCCTATTCTGTCAGATGTTAATAGAGACCTCAGTTTACTTTTGGTTGCTATTTACCTAGTGTACCTTTTTCTATCCCTTTTATTTTCAATGGTTCCATGTCTTTAAATTATAGATGAGTCATTTTTAAACACCATATAACCAGACTAGGGCAAAGACCTAAAAGTGAATGTTTGTCATTTTTTTGATCTGACCAATATCTGAATCTCCTCCTATTTGGGAAACTTTCCGGTATATGAATCTGTGGGAGACAGAACCTCATTCTGTCTCAGAGCCCAGAGAAATCAAATATCCCCTTTTCACCCTCTGGCAGCTAAAGTGCTGGTGCGTGACTTGGCTTTGACCAGTCAGATCAGGTGCAATATTGAGTGACACAAAGATGACACAAATCACAATGCAGGCATGGCAGAGGCCACAGGATCCAGGGACAGCAGCAGCACTGTCTGGGAGAGGGGATGCCTCATGCCCGCACTGCCCTCACCAGACTTTTCCTGTGCTGAGCTTGGCCCGGTTTCTGACTGCTGGCTTTTGCTGCTTTCTGCTTGTTTGTAAGTTTAGTTCTCCTTCCGAGAACTACCTGATTTTTTTTCCATAAATATCCTTTCTAAGAAAAGAAAACTCCAGGCTGGGTGCAGTGGCGCACGCCTGTGATCCCAGCACTCGAGATGCTAAGTCAGGAAGTTCGCCAGGAATTCAAGGGCAGCCTGGGCTACACAGCGAGACCCTGTGCCAAAAAGAAGAAAAGGAGGAAGGAGGGGGAGG